CACAACCTCTGCAAACTTCTTGTGTAGATCTAGTTAAAAAGATAAAGTATACATAAAATGTAAACAATAAATAAACACTTCTGGTTCAAACTGTGAAATCTCTGTTTTACTGATGAAGAAACTAAAGCTCAGGGAGTCAAATGTAGCTCACAGGGTGACTTTTGGCAAACTGTTTTCCACCCACCGCTCCCCAGATTGGCACGTTAATTTCTAGAGAACACTTAGGGAGCTTTAGCCATCAGGAGGCAAGTTCCCACACAGGAAATGAATTATTTTCCTTCTGTTTTTTCCAACAAGCCCAATACCATCCTTGAAGTACATAATGGTGAAAGCAGACCCTATCTTTTGTGATGGTGCCCCTTTTGAGAGTGGTGGGGACAGACTAGTATGATTTGGTAATTCACTAGCCCCTACCTTTTTGAGTACTGATTCAGCATTTCACCCCAATGCAACTAGGCATCTTAATAGATATTTTTATGCTTGACTAATTCAGAGATAGGAGCTGCGGTGGCTCAAGTGGTTAAGATGCTGAACTGCAGGCTGTGGAAGGTTAGTAGTTCAGCAGTTCGAGACCCGAGTTGCCGCATGACGGAGTGAGCTCCCGTCTCTAGTTCCAGCTCCTGCCAACCTAGCAGTTTGAAAGCAAGAAATTGCAAGTAAATAAATAGGTACCGCTTCGGTGGGGAGGTAACAGCATTCCGTGCGCCTTGGTGTTTAGTCATGCTGGCCACATGACCACGGAAACATCTTCGGACAGCGCTGGCTCTTTGGCTTTGAAACAGAGATTAGCACCGCAACCCTAGAGTTGGACTCGACTGGCTTTCGAGCAAGGGAATCTTTACCTTTACTAATTCAGAGATGGCATGAAATTCACAAACTGTGCGAAATGTGATTTAGATAACATAGGAAAATCCAGTAGTAATAGTGGCAGTAATGCACATCTCCTCGCGCCCAACAGCATTAATGTCGTAATCCTATACATGTGCACAAGGAAACAAGACTGCCATTTTGAGCATGAAGTATAGTAGGGGAGAAACTGAATGAATGGGAAGTCCTTACAGCATTGGTTCAAGATAAACAAAACTACACACAGGATGGGATAATTACTGACTGAAACTGCTGTTGAGTCACGACTTGCTGAGAGGCTTTGGACCAGTCACCCACCTCTCAGCTGCAGCTCCCTAATCTATAACAACCCACTGAGATAAACAATAATTCACTTGATACATTTAGAGAGTTTACAAGGGGGGACCCGCGATACTCGCGGGGGAGGGGGGAGAAGAGCTCCGTCTCCTCCATCCCCCCATCTCCCCGCGGCGGCGGCGAGGCCGGTTCCCCCCCCCCCCCCCCCCGCCCCCCGGGGGGGGGGGGGGGGGGGGGGGG